GTGTGTTTAAGGGGATTAAGTGTCATACTGAGGGGAGGAGATGTGTGGGAGGTAACAGTTACACTATTGGATACTGTACTAATTACTGTGAATCCCTCCCTTGCATGGGAGAATGCTTTATGAGGAGACAGTGTGGATTAAAAGTGAGTTCTGCTCCTGATGCTGTGTGTCGTCCAGTCATTGGGATCTGTATGGAGATATTCGTGGATTACTTGTTTGCTGGAATTACTGCTTCATGGTGTTTTTATTACTTGTTCCTGAGCCTCACTGGGATCTATGGTGGAGTTAACCTGTGGAATACCAGGCCTCCGCTACAGATGTATAGATAGATGTTAACATTAAATATTTGGTTAGAGGGTTGTATACACTGACATCAAGTATATTGTCCAATATGTGCTTAAAGCATAGATATTGGGAGGTCTCTGGAATCAGTAGGAGATCAAGAGCATATATATATTATCATGTGTAGCTCTTGAGGTCAAGTGCTTCTAGAAAACTATGCAGTCATGGACAAGTTAAAGGACCACTATAGGCACCCAGACCACTTCAGCTCAATGAAGTGGTCTGGGTGCCAGGTCCATCTATGGTTAGCCTGCAGCTGTAAACATAGCAGTTTCAGATTAACTGCTATGTTTACATTAGGCTTAATCCAGCCTCTAGTGGCTGTCTCATTGACAGCCGCTAGAGGCGCTTCCGACTTCTTCACCAATCAGTGAGAAGATGCTGCCGTCCATAGGAAAGCATTGGGAAATGCTTTCCTATGGACTGATTGAATGCGTGTGCGGCTCTTGCCACGCATGCACATTCAACGCTGACATTGGAAGAGGGAGAAGCTTTCACCAGCGCGAGGGAGCCCGGCACTGGAGAAAGGTTAGTGTTTAACCCCTTAACCCCTCTTGAGCCTGGCGGGAGGGGGACCCTGAGGGTGGGGGGGACCCTATAGTGCCAGGAAAACAAGGTTGTTTTCCTGGCACTATAGTGGTCCATAATGAAGTGCTTCATATGGGAGGTACATTATTAAAAGAGATTTTAAAAGGCAATGATAAAGCACTTAAATAATTAAAAAAGTCACTCAAGGAAATATGTATAATTGGTTAGTAAAGAAATCACAAAATACAAAGTTAGTAGAGCTTTATATTATTTTGCTTTTTATTCATTATTCTCTTTTTTTTACCATGAGTTTCTTTTAAAATGGAGTTGTTCAAAACTTTTAAAATGAAGAGAATGCAGGAAAAGTTCTATCCAACGAAGTCTCGAAAGTTCATGTTTTCTAAAGTAGTTGATGTTTTGGAAAACTAGCACTGTCTCTTTAACTGTTTTTTCCGCGTTAAAGATTACATTTAATATCTATTTCCCAGCAGTGTACAAACTGACATCATCTACTCATAAAAGCAGAATGCTTTGCTTTTTTTAAGCTTCAAGCTGAATAACAAATTGCCACAGATGACAGCATAAAAGAATAACAGAATCGAATCAAAAGAAAATTCATTGTCAACAGAAACCCCCTGCTGAGGAATTTCAATTTCATATATCTAATTATCCCTGTCAGTTGGAAGAATTGACAAAAAGCATTCTTTGTTCTCTCTTTCTGCCTCCCGCATCTCACTCTCAATTAATTCCGGCATACAAATATGACTAATTGTCTTTGCAGTGCTCAAGAGCTCTGTATATAAATGTTCATGAACTGAAAATGATTTGGAGAGTATTCATGCGCCGATTTATGATATTTGAACACAATAGACATGCATAATTCAGGTGACCAAGTTAGGACCCTCACAAGCCCTTATTACAGAGATTAGACTGGATTCTCTTTTCACAGGCCTCTTTTTTTTACCGTATCTGCTTTGTGACAATAACTCACTTTGCACCTATTGAAAAAAGGACATTATATGTCAGCTGTTTTTCCATGAACTAGCCATGAACAAGAATAACAGTATTTAAATGACACATAGTACAAATAATATACGTATGATCCTCAAACTACTTTTCTATCTTGTTTCTAAACTTTAGTTTTCGTATTTAGATATCATTTATATACTGGTATTTATATACAGTGTTCTGTAGATGTATTGCGTATTCTAAATTTTACATTCATTTAAACTCTCTCCTCTTAATTTCAAATAAATAAAATTAAAGAATATTGTAATTGTGTTCATTCTGTTTATTTAAATTAACAAACTACTGATACTGAATGAATAGTAAGTATTGCAAAATATGTGCATTTCTAAGAGAATTATATTTCAATAAACAACTTAATTTCTAGCTATTTTAAATAAAACTGCAACATAGGTTTATTTTTAACTTCATAGACAAGTGTTGAGTGGTATAGAGAACCTCAAATGTATATTTATACTGGTGTCACATAAAAAGTAGATTAATTAAATTAGTTCAATTAGTGGGCTCTGGACAATTATTTTACATTCAATAAAACAAATAAAAAGTTAATTGTGTGCTTATTATGAAATATCACAAACATAAAAGGAACATAAAAGAGACAAAAGAGAGCCAAAAAGAGAGATTTATATATGTATGTATAAATGTTTAAATGTATTATTATTTCAGTGTATTCTCTATTATTGTTGCACTTTATTACTTTTAAAATTGTATTGTAGTGTTTATGCCAATGGAATTGTTTTATTTGAGTTTTGCTGTACATTTACTATTTTGAAGCTTCAATATTTTGTTGCATAAGAGTAGAACCCTTTTTTCACCTTGACACAGGAGGGCACTTTGAACTTTACTTCTTCAAAATAATGCACACAGCCACTCTTTCTATGTTTACATTGCATTCACATTAGTAGTAAATATACCATAAAAAAGAACGAGAAAAAAATACATTCACATTTTTATATATCTTATTAGAAGTGGGGAATCACACACTGTTTTTATATTCTGCTTGTTTTTAGTGATATTGAGCTCTTTTATGTCTATAAATTAATATGCTGTATTGCATAACAAATTCAATTTTCATGGACACAGTGTGAATGAAATCTCTTCTGTTCAAAGTTTTTACTAATAGCTCTTGTAAATGAAAATTCCAGCAGTGTAGAAAATTTCCCTGCACAATTATGCCCTTTTCCCTTTATTCAGATTAAATGTCTTTTGTAGAGTATTCAGTCTACTTAAAAACTGATATCTCTATTTACTAACTGCTTGAATTTACTAAAAATATAAATATTAGAGCTTACCAGTTATACATATTTCCTTGAGTGCCTTTAAAAAAAATCATAATGGTTTATAAACAAAGTACAAACCTCTCTATTTTTTGCATTGACTGATCTGACTCATTCAGTGTTATTTACTAAAGTTAGTATTCAAGGTTAATTCAAAATGAATTTCAACTTTAAAGGAACACTGTAGGGTTAGGAACACTATCTAGCCTCCCTGGGCTTCCTGTTACTCCGCAGAAGTAACCAAAATAGTAAAAAATAAAAAATAATATCAGGAATCATTACTTTACTGCGAGGGTAGTGGGTGCATGGAATAGCCTTCCAGCTGAAGTAGTAGAGGTTAACACAGTGAAGGAGTTTAAGCATGTGTGGGTTAGGCATAAGGCTATCCTCACTATAAGATAAGGCCAGGGGCTAATGAAAGTATTTAAAAAATTGGGCGAACTAGATGGGCCGAATGGTTCTTTTCTGCCGTCACATTCTATGTTTCTATGTTACCACCATAAATATATTAAATTTTCACCTTTATTTCAGTCTGCTTGCGCTGATGCTAGCTCTGCCCCTGAATTGCCTCCTTGGCTGACATCATCAGAAGTGATGATCTCAGCCAATCACAATGCTTTCCCATAGGAATGCATTAGATTGGCTGGCATTGTCAATTCTGATAATCTCAGCCAAGGAGGCAGGTTGAATTAATGCATCTCTATGAGGAAAGTTCAGTGTTTCCATGCAGAGGGTGGAGACACTGTATGGCACTGTGCAACACTGCCCCAGGAAGCACCTTTAGTGGCCATCTGAGGAGTGGTTAGTCTGCCCATTTTCTGATGTTTGCTGACTGGAACAGATGTTCCAGGACTATGGGATCACTGTATTCAGTCTGAGCGAGACACAGCAATGTGCGCATTGCTCGCCCCCTCAGACTGAACATTGCCATCTTCTAGAGGATGAGAGGAGAGGACTGGCTATGAGAGTTGAAAAGACTGGCTAGGAGAAGGGAGAGGACTGGGGCCAGAGTGGCTAATTTAGAAAATACAGGTACACACATACATCTACACATACTGCTACCTACAGAACTACCAGGGCCATGATGGTCTCTCTTGTGGCCAGGCCCTGGAGTTCAGCTTGGTCTGGGCTGCCCTATCAGAACAATTATTCAGTAAAATGCCAATTCAGCAATATAATAAATACATTAACGCAGCTCCCTCTTTGTTCCATTGAACAGTGAATGAGTGAAAGCTTACCGTGGCAACACTAAGTGCCCAAGCAAAATCAGAGGCAGAGTCAACACAGGCCAAGCACAGCCCTGACCAATCAGCATCTCCTCATAGAGATGCATTAAATAAATGTATCTCTATGAGGAAACTGCAGTGTCTCCATGCAGAGGGTGGAGATACTGAATGACTGCCTCAGTAAGTACGTCTAGTAGCCATCTGAGGAGTGGCCAGTGGAGGTGTCTCTAGGCTGTAATGTAAACACTGCCTTTCCTCTGAAAAGTGTGCAAGTGACTATGTGCCTGGAATTGTGTGCATGTGAGAGTATGTGTGTAATACCAGGGCCGCCATCAGGGGGTGACAACCATAACGGTTGTCACGGGCCCGGCGGTCCTGGGGAGCCCGGACTGCTTTGGTAGTCCAGGGCCCCACAATTACTCTCTGCACCTATATATAACGATGATCGCTATATATAGGTGCAGCCGCGGGCCCCCGGCTCCCTATACTTGCAGAGGGGGCCCAGCGGACTGCAGCTGTACTTTACAGCATTTCCCTCGCTCTAAATCCCGCGAGACGTGCAGCCGTTAGAGCGTTGCCATGGGTTACCATGGCAACGCTCCGCGAGGCGTGCACACCACATCTCGCGGGAGTGAGAGCGAAGGAAATGCTGTAAAGTACAGCTGCAGTCTGCTGGGCCCCCTCTGCAAGTATAGGGAGCCGGGGGACCCCACCATGCCACCGGACCACCAGGGATCATGGAATCTCCCCCCTCCCTGGACCAGGTAAGAAACAGGAAGGGGGGAATAACAGATTACATTTACATTATTACATTACATGCATACACTTGTAAGCACACACACACACACACACTCTGCATTCATTACACTAACACACACTCTGGATACACTACACTAACACACACACTGCATTCACTACACTAACACACACTCAATTTTCACTACACTGACACACACTCTGCATTCATTACACTAACATACACACTGCATTCACTGCACTAACACACACACTGCATTCACTACACTAACACACACACTGCATCCACTACACTAACACACACACTGCATCCACTGCACTAACACACATTCTGTATTCACTACACTAACACACACTGCATTCACTGCACTAACACACACTCTGTATTCACTACACTGACACACACTCTGCATTCACTACACTGACACACACACTGCATTCATTACACTAACACACACTGCATTCATTGCGGGGCGGGAGGCCGCCCGGGCGGGCGGGGTGTGAAGGAACTGAAAATATAACTACTACAAGTGCTTATGATTTTTATGCAATTAATACTAAATTAAATTTCTCACAATAAAATAAATCACTTTTTAAAATAATCATATATTTCAACAGTTTTTACTACTTAATAAGGAACCTTCTCTGGTTTATTTTATAAATTAGTTTGTCATTTTCCATGGCACCTCACTATAAAATAAATCACTTTGTAAAGTAATCATATATTTTAACTGTTTTTGCTACTTAGTAGGAAACTTGTCTGGTTTATTTTATAGATTAGTTTGTCGTTTTCCATGGCAAAATATTACACAGAAAATTAAGAGAAAAATGGTTTCTTGCCCCCTACTGTTCACTGAATGCATGAGCATTTAAGTGTAGTAATTAATTGTAGGGTTTCTATAGAAGAGGAGACTAAATAGCTACATCTGCATAATTTGAGTTTGCCAGTAATTATTTCTTACACATCTACTGGAATGCTTCTATTTCAATCTTAGAACTACCACTATTATCTGTTTGCTTGTTTATATCTTAAATATTAGCATAAGCTTTAGGGTTGTACAATTTCATGTAAACCTAGTAATGCTATATTTATTGTACAAATATATTAACTTATTCTATCAAGTCAAGAAATTACTTCTAATTACAATTCTGGGTTGAATATAATTATACACTAGTATATTAAATGGGAAATAACATTTTAAACAGTAAAATAAAAAAAATGAAACCAATAAACCACTTCTATCTATCTATCTATCTATCTATCTATCTATCTTGATCCAAGTACTTATTTAGTGCTCTCTTTTATATTTAAGCAGTATACCTATGTTTCCATGATGACTGAACAATTACTCTAGAAAACAAAAAAGCATCAAAATCGTGGTATTCACCATTTGTATTAACAGACTAGTGTTCACAGTGTTCACAGTGTTCACACTTTCAAACATGCTCACTCCCATAGATTTGAGCATCTTGTTGCTCAGTATAAATGTGTTTATTAGTGCAATCTACATTTCTCCTTCCACAACTATTGCGGGAAGGTACAGAAAGTCCTAAAAGGGTGTCATGTTACTCTCTATTAATTAGGCAATATATTTAACAATATTAAAATACAGAAATGTCTATGAAAACAGAGCTCACATATTCTATTTGGTCTTTTAAATTGTCATATTAGGCATACAAATTTAATGAGGTTTCCAGATATTCAAAGGTGCATATCTCTCCCTAACCTTTTCATGGTAAAGTCATCTCTCACCAAACATTAAAGGGACACTATAGTCACCAGAAAAACTACAGCTTAATGTAGTTGTTCTGGTGAGTATAATAGCTCCCTTCAGGAATTTTCATGTAAACACTGCCTTTTCCCAAAAAAAGGCAGTGTTTACATTGCCCCTAGGGACACCTCCAAGTTGCCACTCCTTAGATGGCCACTGGAGGGGATTCCTGGCTCAGGGCTGCACAGAAAGAAGCCCTGCCATTCATCGTCCACATGCTCTGCATGGGGACGCTGAATTTTCCTCATAGAGATGCACTGATTCAATGCATCTTTATGAGGAGGTGCAATTTGGCCAAAACAGTGTATGGCCCAGCCCCCTTGCCGATTTTAGCCAATTCAATGCTTTCACCATGGGAAAGCATTGGATTGGCTACAAATCTGAAATTTTGATGGTCACTAAGGGGGCGGTGCCAGTGCCGGCAGATCCATGGAGAGTTGAAAATAAGGTGAGTTTTAACCCATTCCGAATTGGGTCTGGGGGGTTATAAGCCACCTAAACGGTGGGTTTTCACTATAGGGTCAGGAATGCATGTTTGTGTTCACACAAGTAACTCAACTGACAACATTTTCCAAATCTGACAGTCTATGTTACACCTCATGCATCACTGTTTACCCTAATTTGGTAATTTGCTAAACATGACTACAACATCAACAGTGTTCAACAACAACAATTTTGGAAGATGTTTTTGTAACTTAATTTTTATCAATAATTGTTCAAAACATCTGTATGTCTGTATGTGCTTTTTCGATATCTTTCCAAGACACTATCTGTCATACCAAGATAGGATTCAGTCTATGTTATTCTAGTAAAACAAGTTGGAGCAATGCCAAACATATGTTCCCTACTTTGGCATATTCATTTTCTTCCCATCCCATGCTGGTTTACCAATATAGCAACATTACTACTTTCACTTATCAGGTTGTAGTGTATTTGTCATTCATAAGAACACACAATACCATCTCTGGATCATATTAATCAAAATATTTATATTTAATACATATGTTACTTACATAGGCTGAGAAGAGACATCAGTCAATCCAGTTTAGCCTTTTTCACATTTGCTTTGCTGTTAAGCCAAAATAAGGCAAAAAATCCAGTTTGAAGCACTTTTCAGTTTTGCAACAAACTAGGAAAAAAAAATCCTTTTCAACCCGAGAATGGCATTCATTTCTCTCATTGGATCAAGAAGCTGTTATCCCACCTATAAAAAAATCCACGAGTATTATGTTTTTCATTCAAATATTGTTGAAACATTTGTACAGACTCTGATAAAACCACATCTTCAGGCAGAGAATACCACAACATTATTGTTCTTACTGTAAAAAACCCTTTCCTTTGCCTTAGACTAAATCTAATTTCTTCCAGTCTAAATACTTGACCTTGTGTCCTATGACCATGTAGTCCTGTCCGTGAATACATTTCCAGACAATGGTTTGTATTGGCCACAAATATATTTATATAATGCTATCATTTACACTAAGAGGCACTGTTTTTCTAAACTAAACAGAATTAACTCAGTTAACCCTTCTTCGTAACAAAAAGCTTCCATTCTTTTTGTTAATTTTGTAGGCTGCCTCTGCATTTTTTTCTAGTACCATAATGTCCTTCTTTAGAACAGATGCCCAAAATTGCACAACATATTCAAAGTGTGGTCTTACCATTGATTTAAAAAGAGGAAACATTGCATATTTGTATCCCTAGAATTAATGTCCCTTTGTATTCATGACAATACCTTACTGGCCTCAGCAACTGCTGATTGACATTGTACATTGTTGCCTTGTTTGTTTTCTGTAACGATTCCCAAATGCTTCTCATGTGTTGTTATCCCTTTTTCACTACCATTTAGGGTGTGAGTTACTTGTGCATTATTTACCCCAAAGTGCATAACTTTGCATTTCAAAATTCTAACATCATAAGGGACAGAATAAATACATAGAGTAATTTGTGATGTATAATTTATTTGACATTCATGTAATAGCCTTAACTTTAAAATTTTTAATTGACCACGTTTATTGACTGGATATTTAATTGGATAATTTCCATTGTGGACTCATCATTGCTTTTCTTTCTTACTACCCTGCTCTGATGGTTTGGTGGAGAGTGAACAGGGACCTCTAGGTTAGCACAATTTACAGTTTGACCTTAACCAGCTCCTGTAATAACTGTGCAGGACATGCAGGGATGGACATAACTCTAGATTTCCTATCTGCCCTAGCTCATGTTTGTGTTTCAGCTATGTTAGATGGATGCTACATCAGTGATGTTTAAATTATAAAATAAATTGGACATTCCTAGTAGGTGAGTTGTGAACAATAAATATTTGATGATTAAAGCGGCACTGTCATGCCGAACTTACCTTTCCTCAATCTCTTCCTCTTCTCCCCCTCTCCCAGGATCTGTTCTTCTTTTCTTCCTGTCTTCTTTAGTTTTCTTTAAAATCATAAGACAAAGTAGGGACTCTGATCAGAGCAATTTTCCCATGATCCTTACCTTTCCTCTGTGTTCCCGCGATGCTTCCTGTCACTTTACACAAAACTGCCGAATTGTTTTCTAACTGAATGAGAACAGTATGTTCGTTTGTTTTAGAACGCAATTCGGCACTTTATTCGGATCGGAATTTCATTCGAATGAATGAAACTCTGATCCTATTGATTGCTGTGGCTGCATCTTGCAGCCGCTTAGTAGATAACTCCCTAATTACCACGGTATCAGGGAGCTATCTACTAAAAGGCTGAAAGACCTAAATTGGTCTTTCAGCCACATTTACTAATACCAAGTAAAAATTACTTAGTATTAGTAAATAATATGACCCTACTCGCTATACCGCGAGTAGGGGCATGTCTGGTAAACAGTGAGCAGCCCACTGTAAAAAAAAACAAAAAACTATTGGCCCCCACCCCTAAACGACAGGTGGGGGCCCTAAAGTAAAATAAGGGGGGAGACCTAAAGTCCCCCCCCCGCTCCCACCCCTCCGCGGTGGGTGGGGGTCATAATGATAATGAGGGGGGGGACCTACTGTCCTCCCCCCTGGCCCCCAGCCCTGGGCTGCGGTTGGGGGCCATAATGATAATGAGGGGGGGGACCTACTGTCCTCCCCCCTCGGCCCCCACCCCTGGGCGGCAGGTGGGGGGCCATAAAGATAATGAGGGGGGGGGACCTACTGTCCTCCACTACATCTAACTAATGCCCTAGTCACCCCCAAATGCCCCTAAGCCTATTACCTATTTTTTAATCTTTATTTTCTGCCCCGATCTTTAATCAGGGCGCAGCCATCTTTGTGTGAAGTCCCTGTGGGACACGTCATCAGCCCACACTAGATAGACTGTGAGATTCCCGCACATGCCCAGTGAAACACCTGGACATGCGAACGGGAATTTCATCTATTCATTCATTCATCAGACAGAC